ATAGGGAAAACGGCATGGATGGCGTTTCGGTAAGGGGCAGGCATGGAGCCTTTCGTGCGGGAGCTTATGTTCAATATTTTTTATTTTCTTTTTTCGAGCCTCTCTTTTCATGGGAACTTGACGAGGTATAAAACCCAAAACCTGGGCATGAATGATTTGGGTTCTGATTCCTTATGATTTTACCTGTGATTTTGATTTTGATCTGAAGTTGATACGATCAGATTAGGATCTGGCGCAGGTTGGGTGGGAATTTTCCTGTTTCTCTTCATGTTTTCTCAACGTGGTAGCCTTGGTTTTCACGGATTGTAACATTGCTTTCCTCCCTTTATTTCCTTTTCATTTTACGTTCCCAACATCTGAAGGAGAATGAATGATCTGCCAATGGTTTGTTTCCTCTCCCATTTTACTTACACTGGCTTTAGGTTGTTTTCACCTTGATAGCCACGGTAGCTCGCTGTCCCCTATATCTTCGTTCTTTTGTGTTTCTAGTGCTTATTTAAATCATTTCTTTCTCTTCTCTTCTTTTCTTGTTTCCCTTTTTACTGTCGATTTGATTCAGCTTTTGTTAATTAGGTAAAATATCATATTAGGTACTCGATGTGCCGAACATCATGGATTGGAGTATCTTCGGAGTTCTTCTATGACATGGTACGATATGAAATGATGAATCCTTTATTTTTTATCTTCCATCTCATTTTATCGGTGGGTTTGAATTTTAGAACTCAAGTTCAAACGCTATTTTGTCTTTCTTGAATAGAGAAGAGAATTTATTTATGTTTGATCCATTCCAAAGCTTTTTTCAAATGGTTAACATCTTGGATCTGCAAAATGTAATCTGATCACGTGGTTGAATCTTCTCCTAGCTGCTTTAGCATATGCGGCTCTTTTTTCGAGATTACCTAAGTCGACTTTCTGCAATCACAGACATCTAGATCTACAGAGCACAACCATTTACTATCAGAACATACGCGACACATCGCAAATCCCTCTTGTTTTATACTCTATACATACACCTATCGAGGGTGCCTGCTCTAAATCCTATTGACATACATACAGCCTATAAGAAAGAATATACAGACGTTCGTCCACTGACGCGCAGGAACCCACCTGTGGACGAAACTGAACTGTAGTTTACCCTATACGTTTCGCGCCATGGCGACGACGGCGGCAGATTCTCAAACATCAACAGATCCTCTCCTAACTGACCCCCTCCTCTGCCTCCGCCGCGCCCTCTCCTCTGCGTCGACCTCTCCTGTCCTCCTCACAACCTCCCTTCCACCATCCACATCCACATCCAACTCCAATCCCCAAGCAGAAATAACAACGACTGACCTCGCCCTAGCCACACAGCTCTACCTTCCTTCGACACCTCCATATAATGTTCCCCAATGTATTCCCCTCTCAACTCCAACCCGCTTCATATCCTCCGCCTCCGGAAACATCCCCATCGACCTGCGTAGCATATACTTTGCCTGGCTGAAAAGGGACGTGGCAATTCCGGAATACATTGCTAGTGCACAAAGTGTTAACGAGGAGGTTGAGAAGAATGTGAAGGATGGGAAAGCGGAAGGTGAGGGTGGAATTGATAAGGTGCTCAATCTTGTCTTTGTGGAACGATTGGATCTTATTACGTGGCTGGAAGGGGCTTCGGAGGATAGTGAGTATATCAAACCATTGGCTGGGGAAGGAGGATCGATTTCGATAGAGGGTGTCGGGGCCGGTGCTGGTGCTGGTGCTGCCGCACGATCAGCGCAGGAGGCAGCTCGGGTTGCGACTGGGGCTGCAGGCGGAACTTCGACTGTTTCCGGTGCCGGTGTCGATGGGCAAGTTGCACCTGGATCGCAGGCGGCTGGTGTCGGGGTAGGAGGCAGGCCGGTTCGCACTATTGATCCGCGGTTGCAGGAGATATATAATGGGGAACGGAAGATGGGGGATCGGAATAGTGTGCTCAGGGGGATTAGACCGACAGTGAGTTTTTTTATATCATCCATCATCTATATAACATCTATGTCTCTATGGACCAGGGTACTGATATTCCATATACAGGAATTCTCTCACGTGCGCAAAACTGCTGAGATGTTTCTGGGTCGCAACCGCTCACGACCCAGCCAGCACACACAAAGCACGATGTCAAAATCAGGCGTGAAACCTCAAACATCTACCTCAGGATCTTCTCTGATAAAACAAGCCACCCCACCATCCTCCGCCAACCCTTCCTCTCGCCGCCCAAACCCCATCATCCTCCTCTCCCCCTCAGCCTCCTCCCTCTTGCGCATGTCAAATATAAAATCTTTCCTATCAGACGGTGTTTACGTGCCACCTGACCACCCCACCCTCGCCACCTCCACAGCCCCTAACCTTCTCTACATCTCCCGCGCCCTTCAAACCATCTCAGACCCCACCTCCTCCCATTCTGCCAACAAACCATCCTCATCACAATCCTCCGCTGCTGCAGGCAGCCAGGCCCGCAGATCCACCCGCTTCATCCTCGTTGACAGCACCGCAGACTTCAAGCCGGACTACTGGAATCGTGTCGTCGCAGTCTTTACCACGGGCCAGACGTGGCAGTTTAAGTCGTATAAGTGGTCGTCTCCGCCAGAGTTATTTAAGCATGCAACGGGTATCTATGTGGGGTGGAGGGGGGAGGATGTTCCGAGGGAAGTTAAGGGATGGGGGAGAGGGGTGAGGAGTTTTGCAATTGATCGGTGGGATGAGAAGAGTGCAGGATTGAATGGGGCTGGTGCTGCAGGTCTGGGGGCTGCCGGTGGAATTGGCGGAAGCGGGAGGTGGAGGGATAGAGGGGTTGTGGAGGGCATTTGGATGGCAATCGAGGAAGGGATGAGGGGTAGAGGTTGGGGAGGTGGGAAGGGAAATTAAGAAAAATTTCCCCTTTATTTTGGTTTTGTTCTTGTTCCTGATCATCCTTCTGATGTTTTCTGCTCTTTGTCATTTTCATTTTTCCCTTCTTTTACTTCCTCAATCTTGTCATATCTGAGTGGATCTTCAGGAATAATAAAGTGCTAAGTATCCGCCCGTTAAAATGTATTACTATCCAGAGCGTTGAAGATTTTCACCTGTGATTCTTGTGAGTTTGAATGTCAGGAGTCAGCTAACCATTTGCTATGGCATTTCAATTCTCTGTCATCTTGTGCATTAGAGCATGCGACATCTCAAATCAGCAGAGAAATGCGATGACCGGTTCCAGGATTTCTAGACCATGGTCTAGATGCATGTTCAGTACCATTGCAACTATTGCGTTTCCTGGAAATACTCTAAAGTAATAAATATCACAAAAGATTAAAGCAGAGGGGTATCCGCTGGATGCTGATCCTGTCACTGAACACAGAACAATTCAAATTTAACCAGCGTATTAAAAACTCACCTTGCTCTGCTCTACCCTGGCCTGCTAAACATAATATAAAACGTTAATTTAAACCATGCTTCTAGGCCCTAGAAATGTTAGAGTACATGAAAGAGAAGCAGACAGGAGTACGGTGGTTCGGGGTAAGCAAGAACGGACAAAAATTCCCTCGCCTCCTTTTCGCGATTTGTTCCCTTTTTACATTTAAAAGTTTTGTTGAAAGTCGGAAGTTAAGCATGATGACGAATATCGCGTGCGTATGTGTCACGTGTCGCAGGAGGACAACCATGAACCCTGTAGTTATAAGAGTCTCGAGTGACACATCGGAAAAAGAGAGTATCGAGAAAAGGATCAAAACAGGACGTCTAGAGAAATAGATTGGAAATGAATGATGGATATATTTGAATAAACATAAAAATCTTGGCTTTGCAGTTGTGTTCGACGGGGAGAAAAAGACCTTTGAATGAATTTTATGTTTCCAAATCTGAAGGAGATGAGGTTAATGATACGATGAATCTATATAGTCCAAACCAAACCACCAAAACCAAACCAAAGGCCAGAAAGAATATTTATATGAAGTGGGAAATATAAATAACGAAAAATAATAGAATATAGGTACTTTAAGAAAACACACAAACAATGCGGGCAGACAAGTGCTAATAAGACAAGAAGGTGGCCAACCAAGGGGATATGAGCGAATTGAAAAAAAGGTGAAATGGGAACAAGTAAAGAGAAAACCATGTTTCAAAATGATATAGATAAAAAGTAAATAACCCAATTAAGGCAATAATTAACCCATGCTCAGTTTGGGTGGGGGGGAACATTAAAAGCAAATTAAAATCTTTCATGAAAAAAAAAAAAAAAAAAAAAAAAAAAAAAAAAAAAAAAACCCAGCATGCTAGATGAAGAAGGAAAATGAGAACCAGTGTCGGTAAATAAACAAAGAATGAAAACAAATATATAGATATAAATGTATGTCGAGTTAACCGGGGGGGGACCGGAAATAACATTAGGAAAAGCAGTGTGGGAAATGTGTCTCTTATACGGTTCACCCGATCGTTTCGCTTCGTGTTTTGTTCCGTTTTTTGCCGGGGAAGATTCAAAATGAAGAATGTGGAAAATTGAATTATGTGTGGTTTATGACTTCATGGGCTGAGCGGGATTGGGCAGACTGGCTCCCGGTTCTGGAACGGATTGCGTGAAATTGATGTTTGGAAATAGCGAACCGGGACCGTGTGGCAAAGAGTGACGAATCTGCATGTACACTGCTGTCAAACTGAAGGCAGACGGAACTGCTGAAATGTTGTGAGCACATGTTGCTGTTCTCCACGAGTCATGATAAAGTTAGGAGACAAACCGGATATGCCACCCTTCGACTTCATCATGAAGAAGACTCCGTAACGCACGCGCACACATATGTAAGTAGATACCCATTAACTGCAATTAAGTCTGATCTTTCCGAAGCATCGAGGAAAATGAAAGCTTTTTTTTTTTTTAAAGAAATTCAGAAAGACATAGAAACTTCGTCCATCTGGACCGGGAAGTCTTTTGGGCCCACGAGATGTTTTATTTTGGAAGGAAAAACAAAAACCATTTGTCACATCAAGATCTGTTACATATCGTAAAGCATAACCGAAGTTCATGATTTTGTAGATCGGCTTAAGGAGCGTTCAGGGATGGGAGCAGCAGTGGGAGAGTATGACCGGCCAGAGGGATTGTTTAGCTCGACGTCATGGTCCTGTAATACAACAGCGTACTTTGGATCGCGCACAAATTTCGGAACGGAATCCTGCATCAAAATCAGATCCCAATGTCCAAAAGGAGAAACTAAATACCGCAGAGCACGAGGCAAAGAGGCGGTGAAAGGAGCAAGAGACTACGTACGCTTGACATAAGCTTGAAGACGGAAATCTGGGCAAGCTCGAAAAGGCCCACGACTTCAGTTAAGCTCTTCAGCATTGATGCGTCGTCGCCAACGGCACGTGTCATGCGGCTAGCAAGACTGTTTCGCAGAGCATGCTCGATATTCAGCTCGCAGGGAGATCCAGGGGCAAGGAAAGCGTTGTATAAGCCTGTTGTTTTTCTCTCCATCAGTTATTACATGCAACGAACCACGTGGTAGATATACTGTAGGTAAGGCATTGGTGGAATTAAATACAGTGTGTGGGAAACACTGCAAAAGGAAAACATGACCAAAGAGAGGGAGTAGGACAGAAAGCTATGCGCGGACTCACCATATGCACTAGCGAGGGTTTCACGAACGGCATCCATTTTCGCGAATGAACCAGCTTTTTCTCTCCGGTGATAGTCCGCTGTAAATTCGGAAACGTCGAGGTAAAACGATAGATTCTCCTCGCAGAGGGAATAGCGCAAGAATTCCCTGAATAGTAATCGCAACGCGGGATCTTGCAGGATATTGTTTAAGCGAGCATTGTTTGAATCTCGAGGCGCAATTCGTCCATCGAATGTAGAAACCACGGGTTTTTCCCGTGCGATCCATCCACATATCCGCGAACCTCGCTCAGTCACTGCATAAATGGCATATTTGGTAGGTTGGAAAAGTGTAGCATCGGGATTTTGCTGAATAAAATTCTTGTCCTCGAAGACCACGCTTATCAAGCCCTGTTTTACGAACATCGTGGCAATCTCAAACGTTTCCAGACGGTCTATAATTGTGCAGCAGTCCATCAACCAATCCACTGCCGCTTTCCCCGTAAACGTGTTGTGAATGATTTTATCTCCCACTTTCCTTTCCCTAGCTAGCTTTACTCCCACAAGTCCATTAGAATAGTCACTCACGGAATCCGAATCCGAAGTTGACACTGAGGACTTGATATTAGGGCCATCTTGGCCAGCAAACCGACGAAATATCACTTCGATTGTAGCACGATCCTGAGAAATCTGATCTGTGGTACTATCTCGTTCCAGGATCACCAATTGCATAGTATTCCGAGGCGATTCAAGCACATCCAGTATGTGTCTGGCAGTGATACCATTTCTCTGGCAAAATCGTTGCAAGATGTGGATGCCCTTTGGGGTTAATTGGAAGAGCGCACCCTTGAGAGGGAATTGAGTGGTTACCCGTCCGTCTACGGATTCGATGAACCTGGCATCTACAGACCGTTGACATACAGCTCGGGCCATCTCTTTGGCCATGGAAAAAGTTGTGGTGGTGGTGGTCGTGACAATTCGCGAGGGATCCTTTGGATCTGGCATGCGATTAGACTGAGAGAATTTTAGGGAACCGAGATTGTTGATGGCCTCTTCCGCGGTGAAGGTGTGCTCAAACTTGGAGAAACGCACTCGATGTGTCTCTAGTTTCAGGCTGACAATGAGCGTTGAAAAGAGATCTTTGAAATCTCTTGTAAATGGCCTATCATCGCTCGTCATGCGCAACAAACGAGACGATGTTTGGTGCATTTTGCCGTTCGACATAACAGTTTCTGATTCTTCTTGAGGAGTATAGGAACTGCCCAAAAGTGGAGCGAACCCGTGATTTCCCTGCAAGGTATATCGTCGAGGGTATGGGGGTTGATTGAGAGGAGCTGAAGGAGTAAGGGTAACGGGCAGGGAAAGTAGGGTCAACGTAAAGTTGTTTGCGGAGCCTTTAGATATGTGTTGGTCCTGCTCGTCTACACCACCACTACCCGA